CGAGTGAATTGTCATATACTATTTTTCCACCTATAGAAGAAGAAAATACAGTGCAGATTTGTCTTTTGAGCTAGTAGACAAATAATTTAATTCCAAACATAGAACCTGGTTTAACGTTATAGGTTTTCGTAATTTTGTCGGTCAAAATAAAGATGCAATTATATCAATTGACTCATATGAGTTGGAGGATCTAGAGTCTGTTATTAAAAAATTGATGCCAAACTATGTTACTGACTTTAAATTAAAAGCAAACAGCAATACATTAAAGTGTATGATATCCTGTAAATCATGAGATTGACTCTTTTAGCGAAAATAGCATTGCTAAATTATTGGGATTTAGAATTTAGAAACGTATATACTACTGATGCTACTCATGAATCTGAAAATACAGTCAACATAATAAAAGTAAACCGTATAAAAGTAGAGTACAACTTAATTATCGGTTTATTTTGTGACGCAACGACGAATCAGACCATACACAGACTTTATCCAACTGTGCCTGTAGGATGTAAGATAGTTGAGGTACTAAGGCACCTAGTGTCTTTCAGATTCAACAATAGTGTTTAAGAAGTAAGTAATATAAATATTGTACCAAGAGATCAAAACAATTTTCTAGTAAATCTACGAGGTAAACTCATAACAATTCGTTAACAAATAATGCTCCGATATGGCACTCAAATTTAATATAAATAGTACTACCATTAAAATACCCTCAGTATAATACCATCAGTGAATATGTCTATATCTAAATTGAAGAAAAACGAAACCAGGCTCATGATAAATAATTTAAATTTTCTTCGTTCGTTGCAATGATGGATGACTCATATTTAGACATTATAGACGGTTATGTTGACGATTGTACAATAACACAAAGTATCATTCGTTTTCACCATATTCAAACGCGTCTTTTTCGTACAACGATAAAATTAGAATAAATATTCAAAATTTAGATTTTTATACTATACCATGTGAGAGTATATTTACATAGAAGGAAAAGTACAAAAACCTACCAATGATGTTGGAGACGTACATTTTTCAAATAATGGCTTGACATTTTTGTACTCAGAAATACGATATGAAATAAACGGAATTGAGATATAAAAAATAAAATCGCCGGGAATATAATTTTGCTTAAAAGAATACTGTTCATATACTCCAAACGATCTGCATACATTGGAAAATGCTGTTTACCGAAATTATTCCTCTAAAGCATGTATTCAGATTTTTCGAGAATTACAAAAAATATTACTTAATTGTAACCAACAACTAATTTTAAAACATTCTTCTATCCTATTTGATGTTAAACACGTTATGGGTGGTGTTGATAACGTTGAGAAAAATAAAAAAATTTACAATCGAGCTGACAAAAGTCTTATGGAAGATGCCTATTATCAAAGTAATTGATAAGGAAAAATTAAAACTATTAAAAGTATTTGATTTACGTAAATGTTGTCATGTGTGTCAACAACCTGGAATCTCTGTGAATATCTAGTGCTCCCTCAAACACATATTTGTAGACGGTAAATTTCAGCAACTTACTTGAAAAACCTAGATTTATTTTGATTGGATTTCAAACAGAGCGAAAAGATAATATAAATCAAGACGCTGGTCAATTCGATCTCTGTAGGATAAAAAATCTCAAAGTACTCTTAAATTCTGAAGTGTATCCATATGAAGACTTTCTAGTTGATTTTCTAAACCATCAAACATCTAAACTATTTAAAGCTTATAGAGATTTTCAAAAATCATATTATATAAAATCGTATCATTATTATCAAAAAATATTTATTAAAACCATGTTCCAATCGTTATTTTTGATTTAATGCGGCAAAACGACAATATCAAATCATCGACCTTCAGATAGAATTTGAGACGGATACAGTTATTCTTGACAAAACTACAGCTTATTGTTTAATACTACACGATCAGATTGTAACTTATAACGGGGATGTTAGAAAATTGTAAATTTTGAAACTTGTAAATATTACCTGATTTACTAATCAATAGAAATACTTTCTTTTAAATATCATGGTTGTTTTTATTTTACATGAATAAACATACATACGCATTAATTAAAAAAGTTTGCGTTTTTTATTTCATGGAGTAAGTCATTATCATCAAACAGAGATGGCGAGAGATTGAAATGTATCAGTCCGTCATTTTCATCGAGTATTCTATGCGGGTTATCAAATATTCTATATGACGTGTTTGGTGTAATAAAACTCAGATAATGTGCTGGTGGTGGTTGTGACATCAGTGTCGGAGAAGAGAGTGGAGAAATGATCCTCGTTTCATTGAATAACTAAAATAAAAATAAAAAAAATTTGTAAAATATTTTTTGAACATGTCAAAATATATTTTTGAATTACCTCATATGAGTTGTTCGCCTTCTGGTTTAACAAAGACTCGGATAATTATTTAGCTGCACACATCTGGATTTGTTTAGTGAAATTTGGTAAAGACTTCACGGTTAGATCGTCTTGCATGTTCTTGATGAAAACTGCCATCTCATCGATATTTTTCTGTGGTTATTTATGTTGAGCGAATTTCTTGACTAAGTACACGGTAATCTCTTCATATTGTTTTATAACTACCGGAGCGATGAATACTTCTTTTCGAACGACAGTCTGGAAAATATAACATTCAAGATATTGAAGACGTATAAGGTCAACCCGATTCAACAGTGCTCTGCATCCATCACAATTTTTTGCTTCTATCACCATCACGTTTTCAGCGCTATACACCATACTCGATAGTTTTATTTTATCTTCAAAAAATATTTCTCGCTTATACTTTTGTAGTGTATCTAATAAGAACGACAGAATATTCCTCATTTACGAGAATATTTTTTTCAATAAATCCATACTAATATGTACGTGTCGCGATGAAGTTAATAAATGAACAACGACTTGAAATTTTTCAGTTGGTCGATACCAATATGTACAAATTTACGAGCTGCAAAGTCGAGTGTATAGCTAGCATTATTCGATGAGATTTGCTGGTGGAGTCGGTAGCACGTTTATGAAAGTCTTCTTGTACAACGTTGCATTGGCTTCGATTGAATCAGTCATATTAAAATAATAAACAATGAAAAATTATAAAGACTTGAAGAAACGCGGAGCGATGGTGAGATGTACGTGCGGAAAAGTATTAAGATTTAAGGTATGTTTTCCCAGCAGCGTCTAAACGTTACGTATGACGCATTGTCACTAGATATATGTATTTTATATATGACCGTATTCCTACTTGCGTTTAACGCAGCTCGTCTGTCGTGTGTCGTAGTGTGTTCGGACGCACAACTAGTCTGGACTAGTTTAACGTTCTGACGTCTTGCGTCTCAAAACCAATAATGATGTCGAAAAAATTTGTTTTTTCTTCAATCGGGGATGAAATTTAAAAATTTAAATTGAATTTGTGCAACAACATAGGGAAATTTTTGATAATGCTTACCCCAAACATAAAGATGTTCATTTTAAAGAAAACAATTGGAAACACATTTCAAGAACAGTCGGTAGAACAAGTACGATGAAATTATTATAATCCTAGTTAGTAGTTTTATTAATTAAATATATTGTATTTAAATAAATATTTATTGATTAAATCACATGAAACACTGCATGTTAAATTATTTTAATTTGTATTGCAAACATTTTAATTTTAACTCTAAAATTAATAAAATGCAATTATAAATTTATGCTTTTAAATTATGAAATAATTTGATCTATTTTTCAAAAGTATTTTAAGAATCGTAAAAAATCTATCACAGCGTGCCATAAATGAAGTAAAGCTACAAATTTTAACTCTAGACAGCCAATTATAGGATAAATATTCTAACTTTAAATCACAACCTCAAGTATTACAGTCTTAACACTATGATTATAATTTTTCACTTCAACAAGGTCACGTGGCACCAAGTTCTTAGCCAGCCACTTCATTATCGCATGAATTGTTCAATGTAATCATGAAGATGATAATTAATTAATTGTTACATTCATTGTTACTCAGTAGTATTAATAAACAACATTTTTCGATAATTTTAAAAGTTGACTATTTTTATTTTTATTATTAGATATAATATGATGTATTAAAAAGTACGTAAGTTTATTAATTTTTTTAAGGTAAATAAATATTGTGAATTAAAATTAATTTTAATAATTAATAATTTTTAATACTAGACTATATCCGAGTATATTTTTAAAAGATAATCAAACTTTTATTTTTAATAAAATTAAAGATTATTTGAATCAATAATTTCAAAAACAACACAAGTCACATTTTTTGTGAAACGTCACGAGTCAGAAAACTTTGTTAAGTCAATAATAAAGAAACATATTATTTATATACACAAATTATGTATAATCAGTGCATAATATATTTCTACAAGTATTCATTTTTAAATTAGAATTTTTTTCAGAATTATTTAAATTATACATTTTTTTATCAATTATTCAAAAGTTTTAAAAAATTGACTCATGTCGTTTTTGCAATCATCGATTCATTTATAATATATCCCAAGTATTTGTTCCAATTATAAAACCAATTATTTTCACTGATTTCAGTAAAATCTAAATTGGCATTGGTATAAATTTAATTAAATTATGTATTATTTTATTTAGTTATATATTTAAAAATGATTATAGACTGAAAACAGATTAACCACTCTTCGACGGACAGAGGGCCGGGTTAATATGTGTGTTTTCGACAAAATATCGATAGACAAGTCGAGATATGTCAAAACATAAATATTTCTGACGAAGGTTATTTCTTAAATGTGTAAATACATATTCGGTGTAGCACACCGCACACGGTCAATACATTAATATATTGTTTAACATTTTAAACGTACAGCATTGCAATGCTAGGTTATACAATTTTTCCGCCATATAATATGAGAAAATAAAATTTCCTTTTCAGTCAGCATACAAGTATTTAAATAACCCTGTGTGATTGGTGGTTAGTAATAAATAATAATATATGATAACTGATAACAACGTGATAACTGATAACAACGTGATAACTGATAACAATATGATAACTGATAACTGATAGAGAGCGCTGGGTACGGCGGCTGTGGATTAGGTAGTAGGAGCGGGGAGATGAATATGTAAGTTAGAGTATTATATTATAGTCGTAAGCTATTTTACTAGGGTTATAAGATTGTATCGCAATAGGTTAGGTTAAGTTAGGTGGTAGGTTGTGTCCCTATCAATTTTTACGCATGTGTAGAAATATTTCGAACAGTAACATTAGATAAGTAGGTAGTGGGTGGTGGTGGCTATGGTCGGTGGAATGGGTCGGCTTAGGTTAGGTTAGAATTGTTAGGATGGGGATGCGGCTTTAGTTCTACATGATTATATTAAATAATTTAATATATTTTTATAATACTGAGACCTATAATATATAACACCTATCGATATTTTTGAAAAATATTCTGGGTTGGATAAAGTAGACAAAAGTTATAGAAATTTTCTTATTCTTCTTATCGAATTGCTCTGAATGAGCTTTTAGCTATCGGTAGTTGGATTATGCAATTCAATTTTTTTGTCAGATTCTAACGTTATAGATTCAATTTCTTTAAATAGTTCTTCGGGTTGTTCAATATCCTTTACATCAGTAATTTCATTGTATGAATCCAAACGACGTTTTACGAGATCATGGATTATACCTAAGTCCAAAAAATAAAAATAATTATAATTACATAAAAATAAATTGAACTTAACTTGTTAGTTATAATTTTTTGAGAAATGTAAATAATATTTGTTTAAAAATAAGTCTAGAAAATTAAAATTACATTTTCAATAGTCAAGCATTACAAATACAATATATTAACTAAAGTAATATAGAATTTAGGATGAAGATTATTACGATATTATTGCAATATATTTGAATACTTGTATTATTATTAATTATATTTAATTATTTCCATTAAGCTGCCTAACATATAGGATTAACTGTTTTAGATTTAGAGCGCAATGTATTAATTTTATAATAATATACGTTTTTCGTCTGTCCTCCCTCACCTTCTGGGGAAGTAAAAAACTTTTATTTTAAATTTTGTAAGTGGTTTTTGGTGACAGATTGGTACTTTGGTGGGTAAAAAGCAAAAAGTTCTCAGTTCTTTTTTTAATAATACAGAAAATTACAGATAAATAGGTAATGCTTTGCTGTACATTAAGTGTTGCGCGAATCACTGTTATGAGTGTGTTAATTTTGAGTTCAATGATATTATATCATTGTATACGAACAACGATTATGAGCGAAGACAATCTGTTAGCCTATATTACTAAGCAAGAACCGGATCTAAGAGGGGGGCTTACAAAATAATAAGTGGATATATTAACAGTTTTTATTCATTATTTAATGTGTATTATAATACAAATAACAATTTTTATTTTTTTTTCTATAGAGTAACTGGAACATAAATATAACAGTGGTCTAATTGAGGGGACTGAATTATGAGAGGGCGCTAATTATATATTTTGCTCTAGGTAAAAAATATGCTATATTCGACCCTGTTACTAAGTATATTCCATGATGTTTTTTTTTGCTTAAGTTTTTTATTTTACTCTTAGTATTACATTACGTTGTAATTGGTTGATTTTTTTCTGAAAATATGCAATTATTATTTTATAAGTATTTATTTAATCATTAAATATTTATACCTTATTATATAAACGTACATAACTCAAAATTTAATAAAATCTTTCTAGAATAAAAATAAATTCATAGTATAAACATATAACATTAATCAAAAATGTCATTGCGTTTAGTAAAATTTATCTAATTATACAACGTAAAAGTTTTATGTCCTTACGAATAATGTTTTTAAATAATTATACTAAAACAATTAATATCGTTACCTATTTACAGTTTAAATAAAAAATTTTATTCAAATTTGAACTTGAAATTCTTGAAAAATTAATCTGAGAACACACATAAGTTTTTCTTATATTTGTATAAAAAAAAATATTAAAAATACATAGCCACAATTTTTATATATGTATTTGAAGTTGAAACTTTGAAAAAACTGCAAAAAATTGCAAATTATTTTATAGATACATAACTAAAAATTATAAAAACTTTTATTTTTATAAGCAAGTTTTGAAAATTTAATACAAAATTTCTCAAAAGCAGTTCATACTGAAACCATAAAATTTAATAAATATAGAAAGAAAATTATTTTTTATAGATCTTTTATTACACGCAAGGACTTAAAATATTTACGTATATTATATTATTATACATTATATTTTACTATATTATGCAATGACATTTTTGATTTATTTATTTACATTATAAATTAATACTCATTCTTTTACGGTATTTACAGAAAACTGTTATTGTATGTTGATTTACTAAAGTTTATATTATATTATGGTATAAATATACCTATAATATTATAATAATTAAATACTAATAATAATATAATAATTTTAATATTTTAGGAAATAATTATAATTAACCTACCATACTAAGAGAAAAAAACTATTATAGCTTTAATAGCTATATTAAAACAATATATCATAAAACATTTAATAATTTAAGCTTATGTATAAGATAATTTTTCGTATACAATGGTATATCATAATTAATTCAAATTTAAAATACTTATACTATTAACCCACTCGACACCTAAATTTATAGCAGAGCGTTATCCACTTGTCTACTTTTTTTTTTATTAATAATTATATTTACATTTTTTGGTTTATTTTAATAATATTTTTGACATTTGTTTCGTCAATAACGAGTCTTTAATTGTTTATTTTGATAATTTTTTTTTTTTATGCATATATTAACTGGATTATCCGGATATCCGATCCAACATTTAATAACCTAATAATCCAAATACTTCAAATTTTCTAGGGATATAAAATTTACATTGAACTATTATTTTAAGTTTTAACCGACTTAAATAAAACATAGTTTAAAACCTATAAATTAAATAACAAATATTTATATTTTTAATAATTAAGCAACAAGTTAAAAATATCCCGATTATTCAGATAATTTGAATTTTATCCATCATATTATTCGGATATCCGGATTGCGTATTTCCCGATCCTAGTACGTTTCAACGTGCAGGGGTGGGAGCCAAAACCTTTCTGTATAATGTATATATATTTTTACCGATTCAAATCTGATTCAGCGTGGAGCGCTCAATCCATATAGGATTCGTAATCTTAATTTAATCACTTAAAACAAATATGATATTTAATTTACATAAATATTTATTATCAATATTTATATTTATGAATTAGTCGTCTTTTTATAAATTAATTAACAATGCATTAAAAAAAAAAAATGTTTAAAATGTAAGGATCAAAACGTGGCCCATCTAAAGTAGAAACAACTCAATAAAAATTAAAAGAAATTTAGGAGCAAAATACAAGCAAATGAGATCAATGCAAAATATCACTACATTATAAATTTTTACATTTATACAATAACACTAAATGTAATCCAGCCTGATTATAATATAATACGACTAACACAGTAATAAAACAGAAATATATAATATTTATTATTAATTAATTCATGTAAAATTTAATATTATATTTGTTTTAAGTGATTAAATTAAGATTACGAATCCTATATGGATTTCTGATGAGCGCCTCACGCTAAATTAGATTTGCATCGGTAAAAATATGTATACACTATGCAGAAAGGTTTTGGCTCCGCTCCCTGAGTTGAAACGTACTAGGATCGTGAAATATTCCGGATTATCTGAATAGTATTGGAACCGGATATTAGTGATATCACTAATTTCAACACTCTATATAAATCATACTTTTTAAAATGTCGTCACTTTCGGTGTGTTTTGTTTTATTAGTTTGCAGTTCTTCTATCAGCCATGATACGAATTCTGAACCTGTTGATAATACATTACATATAGGTACAAAATGTAATAAAATATAACGTGGTAGGAAAAATGAATTCTTACTTTGTAATTTATTAGCAGTTGTATTTGAAGAAATTCCTTCTTGATTCAGATCTTCAAGTACTTTTGGCAATAAATTAGTCACACGGCCTTCATCAAACAATTGAGCGTGTTCAGCCTGCAATAAAGTAATAGTAATAATAATAAAATCAAAGCATATTAAGGTTTTAGAAATAATGAACTATATAAATAAAAAAAATAGTTTTCTAAAGCTAATATTCTTAAATAAGTGTGATATATATATTTTTTTATTAATAACTACATTTATATATAATATTATAATAACTATTGATGTTCAAGATAATGAATAATTTATTTTAAACTTAATAATTAAAGAGTACCTACCTATATTATAAAATGTCATTATATTTGTTTTGCTCAAAAATTGGGTAGAATAAAAAAATAATTTACGCTGCAGATATTCATGAAATATTTTTGTATTTTAAATTAAAGAGTTGCATACATTACTGCATATCTATAATATTTATTTTTATTATTCGGTATAATATAATAATGATAGTAACTTGAACGCATGTCGGTATATTTCTGAATAGTGGTACTGCTCACGGATGACTATTTTAAAAAAATATTACGAATATATGAGATAAAAAATTAATAGTATACCAAACACTATTTTTGCCATTAAAAAACGTTTTAAATATCAAATATTGTGTAATGAGTTATGCAATGATATATTAGAATCTAGAATTAAAATTTAAAAACAATTTATATTTATTATAATTAAAATAAAACGTATGATTCGTTTATTATTTATTTATAATATCCTGAGATATTTTTTGTATAGGCTACATTTGATGAACGTGACATCGTAAATAATGATTCAATATTTTTTTTTATAGAACATTATGAAATGGTATATTTATACTATATTATATATTACCTATATTTATTAACTTATGAGTCAATATCACTTTATTATAAAACAATGTAAATAAATTCATGATATAAATAATTAGGTAATATCTTAAAATTAATTTACATATTTTTAAAACTTTATTCTTATAAATAATAATATGCGTAAAAGTTTTAAAATAACCATGTACTTAACAATTATTTTAATAATGCTATTGAATTTTCGTGAAAATTCCTATTTTCCTTAATTTTTTGTTTATTATTTATAAGTATAAAAAAAGCCTTGGGAATTTTTGATTTTGGCTTGTTTTAAGTATAAGCTAGATTAAATTCTCTATCCAAAACCACCCTCAAAGGTGAAAATCATCAAAATATTTTTTTGGCTTCTTATCGTGTACACAGTACAAGTAAAAAATACACATCTTTGTAAAATCAATACATTCATCCCTTCGTTCAGAATCTAAAATGTTGATACTCACGATAACTTTATTCAGCCTTTCGTCTTCGTATTGCAGTCTTTGCTTTTCGATCTCTTCGACGGTGCGCCGCATACAAAGTGTTCTTTGTTGCCGTGCCCTCGTATCAAGCTCGTCTTCATATAGCACTTCGCGCATAGCTTGTCTGAACACGTCAGCAATCAGGGTTTCCGCTACCGGCGTTACCTCGGTGTCGAAGTCGAATAACTAAAAAACACATTGTATAAAAACGCGTCGACAACCATTCCTTGAATCATGGTTTGCTTATTTATCCGAACCGCTGTTGGGCGTGTCTCGACAACTAACTTACATCTTTATCGTCTACTTGGGTAGACGCATCGGTACCAGCGGACGTCCCAGTTCCTGGATTCGAGAATAGCTCTTGGTCAAATTCAGTCTGGGCCCCAAACGTCTGAGATACTGGATAATCATACAACTATTGAGTTAAATAAATCACATAATATATTATTTGCGCAACAAAACTCCTTATTGGAATCATTTATTAATACGTATTAGTTATTAATGTTACTATAAATAGATATAGTTACTTTCATTTTCAACAATCACAAAAAAATGTTTATTTTAATATTACTATAATATATTTTATATGAATATAGTTAATTTTTATACATCAGAACACGTCTGAAATAAAAACGGAATCTATTTATATTAGAATGTATATAAATTATCTATATAATATACCTAATATGTTATATGTATTATGTTTTTACAAGAGAAAATATTTATTCAATTTAATCGAGTACGAGCAATACATTATATCTGTATAAACTATACAAAAAATGTAAAGGTAGTTCAAAAATTAAGCAATTATTTTTTTAAACTTTTTAATTCCATACATTTTTTTTTATTCACTAATTAACTTAATCACTCTTAAAAATTATTGTAAATTTATTCATCGTAATAGCTTTTCACAGTTAATTTGAAAAATTATTAATGTAATAAGTTGATTTAACATAAATATGTACGTAACAATAAATATGATTAAAATTAAAAATAATTGAATATTTATTTAATTGATCATACTTTAGGAGATAATATTTTAAGAGATATTAATTTTAATAATTGATTAAACCATTACAGTACAATAAAAAGGAATATCTAAATTTTTTTATCTAATAATTATTTACGTAACTCGTCTAGTTCGACTTAATTTTTTTTCCTTTTAACTTTCCTACCTTTGATAAAAACACTAATATTTGAATATAATTTTATATTCTCACTTCTTCTAGATGTACATCAGTTTGGATATCCACGTTCTGTCGGCCTCTGGTAAGTTTTGGCGCTCCTAGATGCAATCGCAATGCTCTGGTCTGATAGTCAATGGCTTTTTTTCTGGCCATGGCTCGTCGACGAGCTTCTGCTTCTCGTGACGCAGATGACTCTTTACCCAACTGTGGAATAATATTGTGAATTTTAAAAGCTGTTGATACACGATATTTAATAAGTTATTAGAGAATAATGTTGTAGCATAGCAAAAAGTGAGCTAATGTCAATATTCTGCAGCATATTCAAAAGCCAAAATATAAAAATATATTTAAAAATTAAAAAACCAAAAATTAAAAATCTGTAGCGCATGCGTGTAAGCAAGACGCTCACCTCGGACGACAACTGTTTAGCATACCCAAAATATGGGTTCCATTTTGGACGCTAAATGTTTTTAATAATATTATATTATAGTATTTTTCATGTAAAACAAAATTATATTAATAATAAAACATTATGTCCAAAAAAATAAAAATATGTAACACTTACGAATGGTTTTTTTGAAAAATTACTGCCTCTTACTACCCGTTTATCGTGCATGATGTTCGTGTAACCCATTTGTTTACACATACTGTAAATAAAAAAATTAAAATAAAAAAATACATAATTTACACATCGTTTTGACCCAAATTTGAGTTCTTGAAGAATTGATTGAAGAAATGGGGTGTGCAAGATTGTCGAGAGGACGACAAGTGAATGCTTTATGGTTTGAAAAAAAAAGAAAAGTATGAATATTTAACGACTGGTTCGCGTGCTTGGTTTGTAGGACATAAGTAAACTTGGGTGTTTTTAACTAGAAAAAGTTTTTTTATGAGAATTAAGAATGTACGGCCTTAAATCAACCTAATAAAACGTACACAACGTTAACCACTATAAAATAGAAAAAAATATATATTATTTTAGGTGAACGAGTTAATAATAATAAAAAAAACATTTTTCTACACATTTTACAAATGTAATAATACTTGTAAGACATATTTGTTTGACATTATTAATGACTAATGACTAATGAGTATTAAAAAGCGTTTATAGGAAAACGAAAAAGAACTGAAATTGATTTTATTTTTTTTAATCGTGGAACTAACTTTTCGAAAGTGGAAGATTTTTTGACTAGCCAGTTACTATATTGTTGACAGTACTATTGGTTAATATTACTGTTAAATAAATATTTTGACATTCATTGATTTTCATTAGACAATTAGTATAAAATTAAAATTAACATTATTGATTTCAAATTATCATTTTTATTTCAATTTCAAAAGGATATCATATCTTAATAGAATTCTAAATAATAGATAGGATTTAAATTGTATATTTGTATAAATTCACATTAATTATTTTATTTATAATAATTATATATTAACAATAATGACCATTTCCAAAATAATTATCATTTAGTTTACAGTCATAATTTTTATGACGTTATTGCAATTAAAATACGTTTATAAATCACTATCAAAATTTAATCTACTTTATATTATATCATGCATTTAGCACATTGTATAAATTATTTGCTTTTATACAATTTAGAAGGGTATACCTTATATATTTATTTTGTTCACTCTATTCAAGCAAATTTATGTTTAGATATCAATCTTAAATTGTATTACTCGTTATAGTTATTAAAGATAAGTGTATGTATGTAGAGCGTATACATTTGCTTCTAAAAATAATTCTACCTATGAATATCCTTAACGGCCAAAGGTCATGGTCATTGGTCACTTTAAAGTTGATTATCATGTGCCATGTGAAATATTGTAATACTGTATACACTATATACGAATGAGTATTAATATTATCTGATCCATAGACCATAATTAATTGTACTTTAAAGTAATATTACATACTGCTACAACTACATAAATTCGAATTTTTATAGCTGTAAAGACCACGTGAGTTTAATAATATACTAAATTACTGCGATTAATGATGTATTTTTTTTTACACATCAAAATTTAACAAAGTTGCTTATAAAAATTTAATTATTATTTAATTGATATTTTTTCTGTAGATTTCTAGTAAATAAATATTGTAAACTTATCTTTAATAATTTAAAACATAAAATGTAATGTATGCCATATAAATTATTTACCATCAGGTTAATAAATGTTGATAATTCATAGTTTTAACTCATTTTAATTATGCATTGTTAACTATTTATTTTATATCGGTTATTTAAATATGATAACAATCTAAGTAATTTTACAGTGTTGTAAACAGTTTTAAGAAAGAAATGAAGAATCTCAGTCAATATAACAAAAGTGAGTTGGGTCATGAATGTCAATACTATCGACTTTATAATGTGTAAATGTGTAGTATGCATAGTACAATTGAAACCGTGCAGTAATGTACATACACAAAGTGGCATTCGAGACATTTTTTTCAGATAAAACAAAAAGTAATATTTTATTTTACCGATTCACTTACTAATATCTGGGTTTAATAACCTTTTGTTGGTTCAATTTGTTACACTAATATGTATATTTTGTCATTTTATAAGGATCATAACATGATAATTATAACACGTAAATATAAAATAAATTCAATATTATTGAATAGCCTTATTATACAAAATAAAAATTAATATAATTTAGCTCGCTTAATCACAAACACCTTATCCAATTGATAAGTTTGATTATTTCATTTATACGTGACAGCTGTATCAAAAATATATAGGTATTAGTGTACCTACTTTATAATAAATAAAATTATAATGTAGGTAAGAATTTTAATAAACGTAAACTCAATTTAGAAAAAATTTAAATCAATATTTTATTTGAAAGGTATTTATACTTTAGATTTTTAAATATATTAGACATGGTAAAACAAATGAGTCTATTCTTCCCTATTTATTGAAATCTATTTTGACGATACTCGTTTTTTTCACATAGTTTTATTATTTAAATGGACAAGTACTTCCATCAGAGTAAAACGTATATTTTTTATTCCCTCAAAATAACATTGTCGTAAATCTGAGTATATACATCAAGTTACCTCACTTTTAATAGGTAACTATGCCCAAAAAGTTTTTGAAAACCCTCAAGACGACTATATTAAATACACTAATTATGATAAACTTTTGATTAGGAAAATTCCTAAGAAAACAAAAACGAAATATCAAATTAGAACATTAGTAATTATTGACTTTACTCGATAATACTTTTTTACTAGTGATCTACAGAAAACGCTTATTAGGTCGTACATTCTTTTCAGTAGAAAAACTCGCAACCAACATAATTATATAATATTAATATTTTAAACGAAATACGTAATTTTAATTTTCAGTGGTCTCTAACAGTACTTGGATAAAATCGATACGCCATATTTCATGGGGCAAGTCACGAAAACAAATTTCCATTCCTCAGGCCACCGTAATCTCGTATACATAGATATGTTTCAAAAACTTCAATATCATACAAAGTATCTCATAGCCAATAGATTATCTTTAATTGGCTATCTCAACAGTTATACATTCATAAGTAAATATTAATGTTATAAATTGAATAAAAAAATATTTTCGTAATTTCATTTTTAAAATAGCCATTTTGGATATAATTAAATAAATATATTTATATCAAAACTGAACAAGTATTAGAGGAGCAGGTTACATTTTTTTTATTCTCGTCAAAATAATGGTTATGTAAGTAAAAAACAAGAGCTGATTGTATTTATCTAAATCAATCTTGATTTTTATGAAGATTTTCTTATTTTCTTTAAGATTCACATCATAATATATAAACTGACAATTTGTTCACTTCTAAATAGGTATTTATTTTAGCAACAAGGATATTATTTTAGCGAAAAATCATCGTAGTGAAACTCGGGACATATCATTTATACTCACTCGGGTTTGCTATCGGTTTTTTGGGATGAGTAGGAAAAGGTACACCGTTGGTGTTGTCTGTCGTGGAGCACGCGCGGTTTGCTCGAGTACGAGTAGTATCGGTCTGAGTCGACGGCGGATGGGGACGAACGGTCGTCAAGTCCGAGCAAGGCGGCAAGGTCGGGTGGCGGATCCAGAAAAATTCCTGTTTTCACTGTGGTCACGAAAACAGGTTTCCTGGATGCGTGCTTGATGCCGTCGCCGGTTTGTCGCTTTAGCTTTTTGAGCTTCGAATCTAGGGTTCGGGCAAAGTGTCGCGGGTCTCGGTCATGTGAGTGCTGATCTCGGTGATTTCGGTGATCACGGTGACGACGACGGCTGCGGTGGTCGGGGTCGTCATTAATGACCGTAAATGATGAGGACGTGTGGTCGTCTCCGCCGCTGCCGTCTGTACCGCTGTTATTCTCTAGCATCTTTTCTTGTTTTTCCGGTCAGCTATTAGCCGGAAATAACGCGAGAACTATTATATGCCAGTGAACCGCAGCGGTGATGACGATGACGACGACACCCGACAAACGCGACGGCCATCGGGTCGAACGGCACTGAATTTACTGGTCGGCAACAGCGACGATGATGACTATGACTATGACGCGTGTGCGTGAGAGCGTGTTTGTGTGCGTGAAAGCGTGTTTGTGTGCGTGTGAATCAGCGTGGGTGTGCGACACGGGCTTAAGGGTTTCGTGTTTGAGGGCTACGCAGGCGCTCGTGGTTGACCACCCGCGCGCGGGTCAGTGGCTCGGCGCGACGCCTGCGGTGAAATAATAAAATATATTTTTTTAAATGAACACTGTACAGCTGTTTAATGACCTACTGCTGTATTGGACAAAGACCTAGGTATACAGAGCGACCGTTGTGAAATAATTTGACCAGTGGTTCTATCAGACTATTTAAAAACTATCAAAAACTTTTATTTGCTCGCCGCAGTCGAATCGTATTTATGTAATAAATATTAACATTAATATTTATTAACTGCTGTATTCGATAGCGCGTATTATATATATTATTATATATTATATTTACTGTAACGTTCGACTTATTTACGATATTTTCTTATTACTGGTATCTAATTATTATTGCAGTCATTTTTATTTGTTGGTTTTTAAAATAATGATTAAGTGTTCAAGTACACCAATTACCAATTACAATGGGTGTAAAAGTAAAATACATTTCGAATAAATAGATATTAAAGCCACTGTTTGAAATTCACCTAAGTTTGATTAAGTTTGGGTATATATTTTAAATCTTATGATGGTACGTTTCGATTTATATAGTCAGTCAATTGTTTCAAATGTATAACTAATTAATTTACCATTGAATTGTGAGTATAATTTTTTAGTTTTTATACATTGTATGAACTCTCGTATTTGTTATTATTGAACATAAGGGATTCACTGATGGTAATTTATCAGCCAATTTGTATGTGTATGTTAAAGGTTTAACGATTTTTCAGGTTTTTGAAATATTGTTATATTTAGATATTAATTTAAACTCCAAAAAAGGTCAAGTATCGATAAGTGTTGAAAATAATTTTACGTTTTGAATACCTGATTTAAAACAAATTTATCAAAGAATTGGATTTTTTGTGTATGGTTACATCATCTTACTTAACTGATAGTTTGACAATTCACAGTAACAAGACAGCATGACAATTAAGATATATTTATACTCCATCCTAACATTATTTAGCTTGCTTATGTGATATTTATTTATGTATTATGTACATCTAGTACCTCTGTCTTTGGTTTATCATGCAGTTTTTGTTCACCTCTCTATGCATTATATGTAATATGCAGTATGCACTATGCGTGTATAAATATGGTATATAAACATATATTTGCTATATTTGTATAATGCACGATGACCTCGATGATACATTATGTTGGTGACTAAAAATTTGGGATTTTAATGAATTGCTACCGAACACGATAGTCGGTAGTATTTGCACGGCACTAAAACCGATGATGAAGGTAGAGTTTTCGGTGGTCGTGGCGCGGTGGTGGTCAGACAAAATCATGATATAGTTGCGTGCGACTCTCGACACATATACATATATCGTCTAGTAACTTTATACACACTTAAATAATTTATTAACGGCTCATAGTGCTGTGCTATTCCTTAAAACTTGCGATTATGATCGTATTTCACAGTGTTTTTACAACGTTATCCTTGTTATGCTATCCATCTCTCCACACTCGGTACTAATAAAATAAGTACAGCCATTGATGTAAGTGATTCATCAGCATAGATGTATTGGACTACTGAGACGTTTTTAACTAAATCTTGCTTATAAAATAGCCCTATTCTATAGGAGGGGTAGGTGCTTAAAGTGTAATAGTTATTACTCATTATACAGTATGGTCCATTTAACATATAACACTTATAATAATTGTAAGTCGTGATAAAACAACATTTTTAGAAAAGAATAAATATTTTTTTTTAAATTTTGAATATCAATATTTATTTTTTATTTAGTGTTCTAAAATAGAATATAATTTGAATTATTTCAAACTATAAAAATTAAATTTCGGATAAGTAGTTAATATTATTAGTTATGACTAGGGCTGAGGACTTCTAGTTTTTTCATATTTTTTTAGAAAGTTCGTAGAAAAATTATAGTGATAAAGAATGTATTTAATAACACATACATTACATAAATTATCAAATTTAAAATTGTATTTTGCATATTTTATCATTATTGCATATAAATGCATATTTGAGTATATTATAAAAATTAAGAACACACTTGGCAAAATTTTCCATTTTTATTATTAACTATATTTACTAACTGATCGATAAAGTCGATAAAATTGAAACGCGTATAGGTAATTTCAGTTGTTCGTTATATTTTTATTTCAAGATAAAAGAGATGAAAATGAAGAAAGAAAACAAAAAAAGATCAAGACGACGAAAAAATGTAACTTAAAGTACTTATTAATAAATTAGTCATTATGAAATTTCATAATTTTTTTTTCTTATAAAAATATTATAATTACACAAAGTAATAAAATAAAACAACTTTTTAGTGTAAATTTTAAGTGTATATTATTTTGATTTTTAAAAACATAAGTGCATGCATATTTTTATATTTTTAAGTTCTAGAAGTCCTCAGCCCTAGTTATGACTTATCAAAAATGAAAATTTAAAGTTTAGTAAAGCGGAATAGTGGAATGACATTATGAGGGGTTCCCCAGTATCCTCAATATGTTAGTGATTTTTAAAATAGTATCTTACAATAAATTAATCAGCCGATATATTATATAGCTTATTAAGTCCAGAGTGGACACATAAACCCTGACCGATGACCGCGACCAGACATTGACCCGACAACGAGGACGACGACTCGCCAATCGAATAAATTTATATCCCTGGGCCCAAAGAATAAGGTCAGTAGTTTCCGGTACGTAAATAATTAATACTACAGCACTAATTTAGGGTATTTTTTTTTTTAAATATTAAAGAATTTCTATAATATACTTACGCCTAGATGTATAATTTATAATAGAGGCACTCCGATATCAAATCGACCAATAATTATGTAATATTTACTACTAATAATAATATAATATATATTATGTGTTATGTATCTATTTATTCGATTACAAAATGATACATTTTTGGAACTAAAACTTTAATTAATAGCCGTTGTATAAATAATATATGGAATCAGTTATTTTGAAAATTGACCGACCAGGATAATTAGTATTATTTAAATGATATGAATTTTATATATTCAGTCTAAGATTAACGAAAAACTTATCCAAGTGATTTAAAAAATTGTTTTGTCCTCACAGCACGTGTTAATAATATTCAAGTAGTTAAGAAACCTACTATACTTAACATTTGTATAATCGTTGTTATTAAATTTAATATTTACACATATGAATAATGTCATAATTTATTTTGAATAGAAAATTAGATAAATATAGTAATATAACACTTGTAGATAATATGATATATTATATTATGTACAGTGAAAACTGTCTAATGCGGTTAATGCGGAATAGCATGGAAACAAACAAAAATTCCGCTTATAACGAATAAAACGGAAAATTCCGGATTATAAATTCGTTTACTACTTACAATAGTAGAAATCAAGAATACTTACTTATCTCTACCATTACGTATTTTTTCAAGAAGTAATAAAGTACACAACGATATGAACAGAACTTGACTGGCGTAAAATTGTTTTGACTTATTAAACGAATAGGTAAGCAAAATAATTGTAATAGAAATTCAACGATGTCTAATACATAATAATATGACATTTTATAACTGAAAACGTAAAAATTAATTGCAGAGAAACTAAATTGTATTCATAATATAATATAGCTATATTAGTCACGATATAAAATTCGTGCAATATAGTTTTAAAGTCACTATTAGTTAATCATATCTTCTTACTAATAAAATATAATTCTTGCGTGAAATTTTTGTTAAGCTAATAATATGACGTTTATTATGATTTATTGTTAAAATGTATACTTTAATTCTTTAAGTACACTACAGTTATAAAAACGAACATTTATAATTTTTAAAATGTTGTTCGAGTATACATATAAAATAATTTATATTTATATAAATAAGCAGATACAATCAACAATCCGCAAACCAAATTTATATTTATTTAAAAAAAAAGTATATTATATGATATATCTATATCTTAATTCCTAAGGAAAATAATAGATTCGTCTGTTAGAGGCGAATTATGTTATGCGAGGGATGAATTGAGATGATATTCAGATATATCATAGAAAATGATGATAAAGAATAAGAGGATACAAAGTATATTAAACGTACTAAGTGAGGATTTTGATTAATGACTTAAAAGTTCCATTTCATTTTTCTACTGATAAATATGAGCTAAAATTATTATAAAATTTAAGAAAGCCTATTTCTGCAGATGTATTTGAGGAAATAAATTGGTCAGAAATGTGAGTATTTTTTGAAACATAAAAATATAACATTTCAATAATACAATAACTACAAGATAAGTTAAAATAAAAAGTTAATAATATTAATATTTAACATTAATAAGTAATAAATACCTAGCTAATATTTTTAAATAAACACAAAGTTAAGAATTCTATAGAGTTTTTAACTGAATAACAATTATGTATCATAAATCATAATGTGTATAAAGCACCACGTAAAATATGCGAATTTGTAAGTTGATTAAAAGGAACTGATAATATAAACATTACGCCATTACGGTACCATGGTTTCCCTTCTGAGATATCGTAATTGTAAAATATTTTATCTGAACATGTTTAATGAGTTGTATAAATTATTAAAAAGATACATTTTGAATTATTGATCTAGGCAATAACAACATTTTGTGTTTAGTGTCTTGTAATTAAAAATATGTCTTAATACTACATATTAAAAATAAACCATCCATCTTTATTTCAAGTTTTAAGCTAAATTATTGAAAACTATTATTATTTATTTAAAATCTATTATTATTATATATTTTATAACATAAAATTATGGAAACTTAGAAGTTTTATTTAACCGCTACA